TCTGTATGTGATTACTTTTTTATTTTAAACTTCAGTAACTTTTAAAAAGCTTTTACTATTTAGAAACACAAACACCCACACAATATTTTGAACTAAGGAAAAACGTAACACCTTTCTATACTGTTCCCTAAACTGTCTGATGCATCTGCTCAGCTGTGTAATGTAGAGTAACAACCACCATCCACTAGTCTTTACACCATATTTAAATGCTCAGTTTCAGATCCTCAAGTGAATCAGCACAGCCAGCACTAATCCTAAAAAATTCTTCCAAATTACACATGAAAATACTGCTTTCTCATCAAGACAGAACATTTCCTCATAATAAAAGAAACAAAATCCTCTTGTTTTAAGCAAAACAAAACCACATGGAATAAAAACACTAAACACTAAAATGCCCATTGTATTCAGCTAGAAATCAAGTTTTGAGAGACAAGCTCACTAATCTTTGTAAAAACAGAAAAATGCATACCATTTTTACTAAATGAATGCTGCTGAGAGGTTTCTCTATACAATAAATTGAAGTTCATAGACTTCTCTGTAGCCTCAAATTCTATCAAAACATCTTAGATGGTCTCAAGCATTTAACTTCTAGGAAAGAGACATTATAAGTCACAGGAGACAGATAGTTACAGAAACTGAGAAGCCTTATGCAACTTGTTTAGCTCGGGTTTGATGTTGATCAGCAACATGAGAAACACCCTTACTGTTACACTTGTCTGAGACCACGCCAAACTTTACAGCTAAAACAAAAGTTATTCAGTCATATAGTCAACATACACATTAAAGAGTAATACATTTATAGCCACTTCAACTTCAAATTATTTGGCTGTTAGAAAAACTCCTAACTTCACTTCCTTTTGCCTTTTCATTCCACCAGTCATGGCTGTTGGGTTGGCTACCTCCCTCCATTTCCCCGTTTCTTGATCTATCTACTTTAATTTTCTTGCTGCTTTGGGTTACTTGTCACCTTCACCACTATCATTCAGCCTCTCTCACTCACTATAAACCCTTCCACATTAACTTGTAATCTTCCTCTGTACAGACTGATTATGCAAATCCTAATTGTGGATGATCTTAATGCAAAAATTTATCATCACCGTAAGTTTTGCAAAACACCAAGCCTGCTTGAAAGTTTTTTAACTTCGCCAATTGCCGCTCCCATCCTAATATATCCATTCAACCATTACAGAACATGAAGAATGTAACTTTTTTTAGCCAAAGCATTCAATTAGGACAAGGAGCTGCACTGACAAAAGAGTCAATGCATATGTAAGAAAACTACCATCCTTTACAAGATGCTGGGAAAAGAGAACAGAGTTGGAAAACAGTGCCTGGAAGTTAAGATTGTTTTCTGTAGCATCCAATTAGAGACTGTACAATTGCACTGAAAACTCTCCTGTTCTCCACCCTCTAGGACAGAGAACAAACATGTTCATTCTCTTCTCAGCAGTGAACCTTGACTTAGTGTCTGGTTTTCACTCTGATTTCCTTCTCAGCAACCATAATACATTCCTGTTCACCACCAGGAAAACACAGAGCAAGTAGTCTAGTCAGCATCCCCTGCAGCATTTGAACACCTTTACACAGCTGTGGAAGTGATGAGTATTTTAATAGAGCCCATTTACTACCACTTCCAAAGATCAAACCCAGATCTTTGGAAGTATTTAGGTGCCCAACTTCTACAAACTGCAGTTTGGCAGTATCAATGAGAGGCAGAGCTTATATGGCAGCAAACAAGCTGCCTGCCAAGGTTAGAAGAGAGCAGTGAATGCATGTAATTTGGTTTCAACTTAAGGAAATTTTGTGATCAGATTATGATAACAATGGCTCTGGGGTTTTTGGGGGTGTGTTTTTTTCCTTTGGGTTTTCTGGGGGGTTGGTTGGTTGGTTGGTTTTTAAATTACATTTCTCTGCAATATAATCTCTTATTATACCTCTGCAGTAAGCACTATCTTCCTAATTTACATTCTTGTGTTTTTCTAAATTGTGACTGCTACACATGTATTAAAGATCTTGAATACGATCTCATATTGCTCTCCTAACAGAAAACCAAATTTGCCTACCTGACAAATTTGCTATTTGATCTTTTCACAGAAGCTTGAAAATCCTCCTTCCCAGTGTGCATATAAGCCCCTTCCAAGCAAGTGTCATGAAGCTACAGAAAATCTAAGCTTTAATTCTAAGAAAGATTTCTAACCTTTCTGAGTAATATGGGCAAGTATAAATGAGGGAGTAGCTACAATCTTTGCTACAGTTCTGCCCTACATATTACGCTAAAGAAGTGGTGTAGTAAAAACTGATTACAACTCAGCTTAAGCCTCCATGCATAAGCATTTGAAAATTAAATAACCAGTTCTTTATGTTGAACTAGATGATCTGACAGTAACAAGATGATATTTTACATGGATATCAAAGCACACCAAGTCATTAGCGTATCTAAACTATATTATGATAATAATTGTAACTCCTCAATCACATTTTCAAATTAACTTCAGAATGTTACTGGAACCTTGACATTTGATGATTACCTACTTCCACAATTAAGTTCAAATTTGTAAAATAGTTTTGGAAAGTGGATATTAAAAACCATTCTCCAAATGAGGGAAAGGCAAGGGAAATTTGAATAAGATTAAATAGTAAAATCTGCAATTAAAAGAAAAAACAAACCCAACACCCTAAAAAGTAAGAGTCTTCTGTTTCAAGAACAACTATGCTGGGTCAAAGCATCCATTTCACCTGGTATCTCATCACCAAAACAGGTCAATAACAGATGCCTAGGAAATGATGACAATGACAACTCACCATCAGATCATTCTCCCCGAATACCGCAAGCTATAGCTCAGCAGCTTCCTGAACCAGAAACACTGCTCTTCTATTTAAGGTGCTATCTCTATAGCCATATGCAATATGGATGTTTTTAATAATATCTCACTGTTCTGCATGCTCCATGTATGTCTAGAACAAGATTAACTAACATGAATCAAGAGAGGGGGACTGGAAGACACTGCTGAGGCATTTCTCATGTCTTTCCTTCAATATCTTGCTAGCACATTCCATGGCAAAACCAAAACGGACTGGGTTTTCAGTGGTTATAACAAGTAGGTACTGGAGAGATGGCAATGCCAAGGCAGTAAAGGCTGAAGCAACCCTATCACTTCAAACCTAAGAGTTCAGAGAAAGCTCTTTTCATCAAGTAAGTGATTGAGGTGCCGCCTCAATGCATTAAATGTGAAAAAGTGCCATTCTGAAGAACTGGTGTACCATAAAACCAGAAAGTGGCAGAAAAACACCAATATTTAAAGAAGTAAACTGGAAAATAATGGGAGAGGTAGATCAATTCACCTTTTTCAGAATGAAGGACCTTGTTAACCTGAATGAACCCAATCACACCAACAGAAGAACCCCAAGCCTCATTCGTACTTGTATTTGAGGTCACCCAGAAATTCTAGATGCCACAACCATAACCACAACCGTGACAAGAGGGTCATGACCAAACACTTGATGAATATTAGTCC